CGAATGCGTTACCTAGGGAGGTGGTGGAGTCTTCTTCCTTAGAGGTTTTTAAGGCACGGCTTGACAAAGCCCTGGCTGGGATGATTTAGTTGGGAATTGGTCCTGCTTTGAGCAGGGGGTTGGACTAGATGACCTCTTGAGGTCCCTTCCAACCCTGATATTCTATGATTCTGTGAACTGCTGCCAGAATACTGTGTCCAGTTCCAGTGTCCAGAATTCAAGAAGGATGTTGATAAATTGAAGAGGGTTCAGAGAAGAGCCATGAGAATGATTAAGGGATTAGAAAACCTGCCTTACAGTGATTGAGTTCTTTGAGTCTATCTATTTAGCTTAACAAAGACAGTTAAGAGGTGTTGATCACAGTCTACAAGTACTAACATGGGGAACAAAAGTATTGACAATGGGCTCTTCATTCTAACAGACAAAGGTATAACAAGAGCCAATGGCTAGAAGTTGAAACTAGACAAATTTAAACTGGAAATAAATCAAATTTACAAGTGAGGCTAATTAACCATTGGAACAGTTTATCACGGATTGTTGTGGATTCTCCATCACTGGAAATTTTTTACTCCAGACCGGATGTTTTTTTAAAAAGCTATACTCTAATTCAAAAGGAATTATTTGAGGGAAATTCTGTGGCCTGGATTATATAGGAAGTCAGATTAGATGATCACAATGATCCCTTCTGGTGTTGGAATCTATGAATATGACTCTTAGGCCTTGTCTACACTACTGCTTAAGTCTATGTAATTTATGTCGCTCAGGGGTGTGAAAAAGCCACACACACCCCTGAGCGACGTAAATTACATCGACTTAATGTGGTGTCAACACTGCACTGTGTTAGCTTCCGCCTCTCATTGAGATGGAGTTATTACGCCAATGGGAGAGCGCTCTCCCGTCGGCATAGCACGTCATCACCAGATGTGCGCGGTAGTGTAGACTAGTGCTAAGTTTTGAAGTTTCAGCAGCAAGAATACAGATGCTTCTGCTCAAAATTTCAGCACAACTCCTTTCATCAAACATTTTCTAAATAATATACAAGACAAAATGACCCAGTTTAAATCCTGGACTTATCCCAGGTTCCCTTTTTCCATCTGCAATTAATGTCTTCTAGAGGTTTAACAACATGACCGTGCCCATATATATGAGAAAGTTAGACATCTAAACATCAATTGTGTCAAACTCCATGGCCATGTTTGTAAGTATTCTGTACATGGACAGTATGTTTTTCTTTCATGCGTAGCATAGACAAGAACATCAAAAAGTAAATAAAAGGGATGCTCTCTACATCAGCTCAATAAATCTTTTAACAGTTAGGTATAAATCTTGTGCTGACCTGACGAGAAATAGTGCCAACCCTTTTAGTAAGGTACAGAAAATTAGTTCTCCACTGTACATATTCAGTGTTATCATAGCTTGCATTTGACACAAGTATAATTTTAGCATAAACTAAACACCAAGTACATAGCTGCGTTCTCCGTTATGTATGTATCACAAGACTGATATAACAACATTTGCATAGTTTTTGAAGAAGTGGAGTGATTCGGACTTTGCAAGTGATGACAACCTGTGTATCTAATTTAGTTTGTTTTTCATTTTACTTTTGGAATGTGCACAACGTAGAACAGGGGGACTGATATTCCATTCTGAGAGATTATATATCACATGACAATATGTATCAAGCAATATCCTTCTTACATCCTCTGAGATATCCGAGGAGAGAGGATATTGTTATCTGACAGAGCAAGCATATTATGGACTTTATTTGGAATTGCTTTAACATACTTATTTTGTGCTTTAGAACATTTATGGTATGGGTGTGACGCATTCTATTCAATTCTGTTAGGTTCTATACAACACACATCACTATGGTATTTGAATTATACAGTATTGCTTCGAAGCATAGCAAGCTAAGCCGCTTATCAACCTCTAGAATACAGAATGTTTTTGGTGTTATTCCATTCAGTTACTCTCTTTTCTTGTATATGCAATGAATGAAAAGGCGATGGTTAAGATTATCCAAGCAATAGTTTAATTCTGATGCAAGAAGAATGAGATTCAACTTCTGACAGGGTCTAACCTGCTCATGATGTTTAACATTAAAAGTTTTTATATTTTGTAAATGCTTTAAAAATGCATAAAACAGGGTCTGACTTGGTTGCAAGACAGAAATTATGCACTATTGCCAACCCGAGTGTTCAAAAATCATGAGATTTGGCTTGAAAACATGAGATTTAAAGAAATAATAAATGGTGAATTCTTTTATTTGCTTTTTGGACTGTTAAGGTTCACATTTTCAAGCTTTTCTCTGCATCCATGAGGATTAGGAAGTTAGTGGCTTTTTAAAAATGAAAGCGAAGATTCTCATATAATCACCTGATTTCAGGCACTGGGACTTTAATTTGAAGTTTTTCATACAATAAAACGGCTAAGGTTGGAAACGCTGTATAGCAACATACAGTTCTGAAAACTGGCACTTAGACCACATGGTGATGGAGGCTTTGTAACTGCTTAGAAATAGTTCACTGTTATGAAAATCAAGAAGAAAGTTTAAAATAAATTAATCTTAAGGAAGCTAGTATAGATTACAACCATCTTAACAACTTGTTCTTACTTATATAAGAAGTTAAACAAATGGTGAATCAACAAAACAAATTAGAAATAAACACTTCTAAAATATATTTTTATTTAATTTGAATAGTGAGAAAGTCTGACTTGGATTAAAGTAATAAAAGAACTTTTAAAAATTTTTTAGAAAATGAGATATAAACTACCGTCTCTTTCAGAGCAATAGAAGTAGAAAGGAATGTGTCAAAATACAATGACAAAACCATGCTAAGAAAGTGGCAAAGGAATTGGATGGCTGAGATAAATGGTTGCCGATAATGTGGCAGGCTTTGAGTGTGGCCAGAGAGAGACAACAGTGTAGCAGAAGAAATCTGGGAGTCAGCCTTTGGGCAACTAGTTCCATAGCTTAGTGCTTCAAATAGCGTCAGTTTCAGCTCCAGAGAAGGCTGTCTCAACAGAAGGCAAACAAAAGAAATAGAAAAAGGCAAACAAGTACACATTTGGAGAAAATGGGAGATAAAGGCAACAGGAAATGCTGAGCATACAGGACCACCACTTTTTCAGAAAAGGGTTCCGAACAATCTCCAGGTTACTACAAACTCTAAAATGAAATGGATATCTGCATTGAAAAAGCAGAAGAGCTACAAGCTATATGCTAGCTGTTTGTGGAGATACTGGGGTGACATTAGATGTTATGAGGTGAAATTCTAGAGATTAGTGTGATGAATAGCCTAGGTGTATGATTCAATGTCACCGGAGAAGAGGCTGAAACAGTATGAAGTGGAGGCAGAATCCTGGGAGGTACAGACTAAGCACAACCACCACCCACTAGTTGCATGGACAAAGGGAGAGGCAGAATGCCAGAGACTATCCTAGAGATGCTTCGGAGAGCATTTCTGTCAGCAACCACTTGAAAACAGACAAAAGACACAGGCATGCATTGAAAGCCAAGGCGGACCAATTTTCGATGCTGAATACACATAAGCCAGCTGCCCCTTAATTGCCATCTAAACTACTCCATTAGCGGACTTTATGAACCCACTGGCTATTTGGGAATAACAAAAAACCCTTCTTTGTTCATTATTTTGAAAGAGTTACTAATAAATAAATTCATTGCAATTCTTATTTTTTTTAATAATTAGAGTTTTCTAAAGACAATCCAGCAACAGGGAAAGAATTTGCAGTATGTAAACTGTTAAAATTCTGGGACTAGTTTAAAATGATTCTTGCAGCCAGATATATTTATCCTCTGAAAGGCAAAAAGGGGTAAATATTTTCTACCTCTTTAATGGCTGTGTTGTTGCAGAACTACATGCTTTATTTTAGAGTACTTATTAGAGAAAACTATTCAGAAATAAGAATTGTTCATGGTACCAGTGTTGTGTAGATTGCTATAGTTTTGCTTAAAAGGAAAGAAACAGCTTGTGGTTTTCTAAAGTAACAAGACATTCATAACTTAAAATTGTCTGCAATCTGAGCATTTCCAAAAGAGTTATTTTTAAAATCTATAAAGAGGATAATCTGCAGCCCAGACTCAAATGCTCAGGAGTGAGAGAGGTGGTTTAATATCCTGATAAAGTGAACAGCAATAAGGAGAAGTAAGTTACTCATACAGTAACTGGAGTTCTTCAAAATGTTTTGTCCCTACAGGAGCTCCATGTGAGGATGTGTGCACCACACCCATGCACTTCTGATCAGAGGTTTTGGTAGTGGTGTCTGCACCCTACATATTCTCATACTCCAGAATGAGACCAATTATAGGGAGGGGCCAGTCCGGGTCCTTCTCAACCACGAAGTCCAGAGTCAAGGACTCCAGAGCAGAGGGGAAGGAGGGCAGGTAATGGAGCACACATAGGGGCAAAACATCTCAAAAAACTCCACTTTCTGTACAAGTAAGTAATCTCTCCTTCAAGGTATTGTCCCTATGGATGCTCCGTGTAGGGTGAC